AGCATACTCAAGTTGCCAGTTCTTTACTACTGCTTTCGATAATTGTCTTTGCCATTTGTGGCTTAACGTATGTTTCATCCAAGTGTTTATTACATTCAATACTTGAAGTTCGTTAAATCTACAGCTGAAGGCATTAGAGTAACCCTATTCTTGCTTGCCGCTATGTATGTGTAACTCTTACGCAATTATTTTACAGCATATTTGTAAAATCTTGTAGACTTACAATATTCAAAATATACTCTTCAAATATTTAGTTATCTTATATTTTTCTCTTTTCTAATTACACTTTTGTGTCAAAAAAAAATTGAATACATTCACTGTTTCTTTTAGTGCTAGATCAAACATGAAAAGCAACATCTATAATCCAACACTCCCAAGTTTATGTTAGATATAACTTCAGTCAAAATTGCCCAAGTACTGGCCCTTGTGAAACACATGAGATTATCAAATTTAGCTGATATCGAGGCCTGTTGAATTTGAAACAAATGTACTGATTTTAGAGTTACTTCATATGAAGCCTCAACATTTCCTCAAAAATTACTCCAATGTTTTCCACCTCAGATAAATCAAAGTAGCCTACCCTACAACAATAGCACAGATCTGGTTTTGTTAAATTCTTGGAGTTTCAAAACATGCAAATGTTTAATTTTTTTCAGCGGCTTCCTGAAACAATATTGAATAGATCTTAAAAAATATTTTCTTTTAATTCAATCTTTAATTGTCTTGGGCACTTTATTGAAAATATGAGTAGTTTTCATGTATACATGAAATTATAATTTGGTATGGAATAAAGACAGTTTTAAAAACAAAATTTTCTCAAAAAGGCTCCTATTTGTTGTTTTTTTGCTTTCTTTTTCTCTGATTATGGGAAGTACACTTTATGCAAATGGTGCAGATCCAGTTATCATTGAACTCAGAATTTTCAAAAATTCCTAATTACAAATGTGAGAAAGTATGTGCTGCCGAAGCGCCATTAGTTTTGTAAAAGTAATTTATATTCAAAGACTTCAGAAAGATCTTTCAAGTTACTTGCCATATGTAGATTATTTTCATCATTGTTAAATACTTCATTTTTAAAATCATATGCAGCAGTGACCGTTAACATGTTTCTAAATCCATGTTCTGATTTTACTAAACAAGGTGGTGACAAAGTTTGGAAAACAAATGTGAGCAGTTACAGGTTTACGAAAAACTATGTGCAGTGGAGGCACTGTTGGTTTCTTTAATTATTTTTTTTTCATGGACAGAGCGAAGGATGCTTAAAAAATGGCAGAATTTTCATTTTCATTGATCTCTGAATTACTTAAGTTTGAAACAACGGAAGAAAGTATGTGCTGCTGTAGCACCACCAATTGAAAATTATTTAGAGAAGTTCAATATTCTTATAATCAGAAAATCATTTGAAAAAAGTTTGTAATTATGACCATTTGAAAAATAATAACAAATTATTAAAATATTTAGTTAATAATTGTGATGTACTTGAAAGCTTTCTTAATCGTAATATACTAGTGGTCTGCAACAGCAGCAATGCTGCTGAACAAAACTACACAAAATATTTTCCCAAAAAGTAGCACACACGTCTCAACAACAACAACAACAACAACAAATAAAACACTCTCATACAACACTGCAGAAAATTAAATATTAAATCTTTGCAAATTCTTCAATAACAGTATTTCACAAACCAAGTATATTGAATAATTTTGATGTTACATAATGCAACACAAAAACAACAAATATTTAATGTCGGATGGCCGCTTCCTAGGAGCCTTGCTGAAAGCATGTAATCACATGATGAAAAGTCAGTCAGTTTGTGTCATATTAGAGCAGGTGAAATAACACAATCAAATATTTGGATTTTTTGGTCAAAATTTAAACTTTTTTTGTTTTTGTATATTTTCCAATTTTCTGGGTATCTAGTAAAACCAACAACACTTCGCAGGTAGTCATAGAGTGCATATGTTTCTTTCAATTTCTGTGCACATTAGAAATTAGTAATATAGATGTCTATCCAATATTAACTTAATAAATTATAGATCCAAAAACATACTCCATTTATACAAATACAATTGTGGTAAAAAAACAATTTAAATTTAAAAAACGTTTCAAACAAAAAATCCACATTTTTTGTTTAAAAATTGTGATATTTTCCCCAAACTGTTTCTAAACTTTTGATTTGCCAAATGGAGAGCAGTCTTTCTGAGCAGTAGGGGACACATCCCATCAGATCTTGTGAATAGAATACATGGAATTTGTGCAGCTGCTGACACAGCAATTTTTTTAATATTTTCAAATATTTTAGATGATTGTCAGTAATTCCTCTGATGAAGAATAACTTCAGTATGCTCTGTCAGATAAAAAATGACAAGAAAGAAGGAACTATTGAAATAAGAGAAGAATTCAATGAGTTTCATGAACTAAACAACATAGGACTGACTACTTTTTAAGATATTTCATTGATTTGTTAATGTCTAGAAAAGAATTTGAAGAACTGCATAATCTAATGAAACTAAAAATATCAATAAAGATCACTAATTGGAAGAGACCTAGTGATTTGCAAATTCACCAAGAACTCTGTGATAAATTTAACAACGTGTCTATGGTATGCCCCATCTACAGACTCTTCAATGTGTTTACACTGAGAACGACATGCACTTTTCAAGAGTGAACATCTTTTGATATGAGATAAACAAAATCTTGAATGTGATTTTTTGAGAACACTATTTTTGAGCAAATGTCCTTTTTCATTCACTGCTTATATAATGGAAATTTATTTTAATTCCTCTAAATAATATTTTTTCCATAGAAATAAATACATAGAAAATTCATTGACTATTTCATTTTCCAGGTCTAATGCCACCCTGCCAAAACACTGTTACATTTCTTAAAACTGGCAGATCCACAGGGAGGGAAATGTGGGAATCCCCCTCCCCCCAAATGTTTCAGTAATAATTAATTTTAACTTGTCACGAAACTTTCAAGCAAAAATAATTTTGGATAATGATTACAACAAATAAAATCGCAGCGTAGTATGAGCTGAGTGTAGCCAGCAATATTTAACAAAATCTGTAATATGACACATTCAACCAAAACATTTTGAATTTACCCTGAAGTTGGTCTCTGAATTCGCTCCTTCATAAAATAACATATTCTTTTACTTAGTCTTTTCATAATGTTCAACACAACTATGTAGAGGAAACGGTCTTACCTAGGGGCAAAGCATGTTTTTGAGGAGTCGGTGAGAGAAATTTTGGATTGTTATTTTCCCTAAACTGCTATTGTCATGAGTTTATTCAAGTAAAAGATTTTGTAGTGTGAGTTGTTTCTGTGATTTTATGAGAGTTTAAAAGATCTGACAAGAGAAAAGAAAAAATTTCTCAGTTATTCTTTCAATCAATTTTCCAATAACTAGAATTACTTTGCAAAAATTGAAGTAGACTTACACTTACGAGCACAAAACGTATTAATTCAAGGGGTACACTTCTTTCCTACAAAGAACCTACAATTAATAGTAGCCATGTTCATTCGCGATTGCAGAATGTTGTCAAGGGACTTCCCTAAAGCAGGTAAATAAGGTATATAGGGTACACAGGTATAATAGGTATGAAAGTGTAGAATTAAATTAGATTCAGTTGTTTTCAGGAAGTAATCTGGCCTTGGCACAAAGCTCAGGAAACAACACAAGGCCTCAACCACCAGCAGAAACAATTAATAGAGCAGTTTTGACTGTTGTTAAAGACTGTCGGTCAATTTATTGTTCAGCAATAGTTCAGTAATAGAAAAGGACAAATCTGAAAACTTTCTTGTGCAATATTGAAAAAAATGCATATATAATGATTCACTTATTCACCATTGATTATGGTTCTGCAATATTTGAAGTTGATATGGAGGTTATACAAGTTAAGCTCAGTTAAGCTCTCTGACCAATCTGTGTTTGGTTGTTCTCAGAGGGAGCAAACATTTATTTTTTCTGTTTCCTTTACACATTATAATCTAAGATGAAATTCTTTCTGCTTAAGAAATGCTATTGTTAATATCTTATTAAGTCAACATAGAGGACAAAACATAAGCTCCAGAACCAATCTGTGTTCGGTTGTAATTAAGGGCAGCAAACATTTATTTTTTCCTTTAATATTTATTATAATCTGGGTTAAAGATTCCGTTGTTCAATAAATGTTATTTCGATATTCTCTCCATGAAAAAGAACATACATTTATTTAGTTGTAGTTTTTTTTGACATACCTACATTGTCTCCAGGAACATCAGTATGATGTACCTAAGGAACATTCTACACAAACAAATTATCTCAAAAATCCTTATAGAATATTCTTAAAAATTATTATTTTTGTACATAAACATGATGACATGTGTAGCATTCCATAAAGAGGAAAACTAACAATGTCATATCCAAAAGAACTGGGGGGAAAATTAAAACATTAAAGATGTACTTAGGTATGACCATTTACCCTATGCAAGTGTTATGGATTCATAAATTTGTATTAGGGATATATTTCCTTTCTTAGATAGGTCTAACTATACTTATTTTACGAATATCTGGAATAAACACATTCATTAGGAAAATTTACATGCACTATTATTTCATGAAACTAGATTTGAATTTTGTAATTATGTGAGTTGATACTCTATCTTATGCAGAGGTTTCGCAACAATTTAAAATGCAAATTAGCTGATCAATTTACCTAGTTTCTGAATTGTTTAAGAACAAAATATAAATAATTATTTTGGGAATGCAATCTGGATATTGATTTTCAATATGCCATCTGTTAATAAATCATTTCTTAAAGGTATTACAACTTTCCTCTGGTTCTCTTTTTGTTACACCAACAACATAACTGTTTATGAGTTGCTTTTCTACTTTCTATTTGATTTACAATTTTAGATAGCATTCTTTGTTTGTTGCATTAATTTTTGTGATAAATAACAATACAATTGTATCATGAACATAGTTAAAATTAACCTAATAAATATTTTTGGTAATGATTTTATCACATTTGTTTAAAAATAGGTACTTCCAAGTTTAAATAATGTAAATTAAGAGAAAATATAATACTTAAATGCCATGAGATTTTAAATTACACTTTTAGAGAAAATTTTTAAAAATGATGTTTGAAAATGATACCATTGTTCAAATTATCAATCTAGCTAATAGAGAAAAAGAATTTTCAGTTAGGAATAAGGTGCAGTATGTTTCCTGGCATTCAGCAAAATGTTTGTGCCAACAGGAAAAAGATTTTAAATAATGAAGAACATACATATATTGAAGATCATTTATTACTACGTTTAACAACTTTTCTTCTGAGCCACTTGTGGCTTAACATTTGGTTCATCCAAGTATTTATTACATTTAATACTTGTGAGGTAACTTAAGTCTGCAAGTCACATAAGCAGATAAAAAAAATAATAAGAGGAACACTCAATTTTAATGTTTATCTTTTTCCAATGTCTATTTGTGTTAGCCAATTTAATTCACAATTTTCTCTTTGTGATGAAATGTGTAATATAATTAAATACAATATTATATGTGGACAGTGTTCACTTTTCTTTCATAAAAAATCCAAAATTTCATAAAAAATCCTGCTTTTAGAATCAGTTATATAGTCATAATACCAAAAATTCTAACAATAACACACACTTGTTTAAAAGCACATATGATAAATAAAATCATTATGTAATTCTCACACAAACACAACTAGAAATATACCCCATATCCCTCATGAAAATTGTGTAATGTGCACTTGCAAAAGGAAAAACACAACCAGCACCATAATAAGGCACAATGTTTTCAGCATATTAGTACAATGCTACCTAGAATGTAGAGATTCTAGGTACAGGTCTGTACAATTTAGAGATTCATCTCGGTCATCATGCATGCTACCCAATTTCAGTCTCTACAAATTACAAATCAATTGCTCCATTTAACTTTGCATTCTAAGAAGAGCTGTTTAACTTCAAACATTTTGCAACAAATGTGCATTGCTTATAATGCCTAGTAGATACAAAATTTTAAGATGAACACACTAAAGACATGCTTGGAAACCAATATCTGAGTGAATGTAACTGAAAAAAGGAGGAAAGGTTAAAAGCTTCAACTAATTATCTAATGTGAATGACAAAGTTCACTGATGTCCACTGATAGTTATTAAACATGGATTATATGAAAAAATATTTGCACATAATATTAGAAAAGGAATAGCATGTTTTAGCACCAATTATCCTCAGGTCACAGCCTGATTTCCCCATATTGCTTTTCTTTTCTTCAAGTAACAAAACACACACACTTGCACAAGTAACATTCAACAATCATAGCTACCACCAGAAATTTTCTAAATTGCTATATCTTATTTCATAAAGTACAGCAATTACAATTGTTCCAACAACAATTGTCAACATGAAACATAAACAGGTTACACAGAGCTTTTAAACAATGTAATTTAAAAATATTTTAAGTAAACAATTTGGTGTTTGAAATAAAATGTATCAATCTAAAATCAAATTTAACTACAAATTTTTAGATATATATCAATGACAAAACTACATCATGTATGTATTAATCTGCATTTAGAAAGGTTATCTTCATTCTTGTTCTCTATTAATTAATTTTGTGTCCTATTCAGAAAGCAATTGGAATACAAGTATAGAATTGTACATTTTGACAACAGATAATCCCACTCCCTTGCAAAATAAAACGACCCAGAAGATGAAAAATAAATACATACCGAGTAAACTAGAATTCTAAAGACAGTAATTTACCCTATACTTTGATTTTGCCAATTTTACAAATTATGGAACAAAAAGCTCTGTTAAATTCTTGAAATCAACAAGCTTAATTCATCAAGATAAATTAATTAATCAAGATGCTTAATTCTTCAATTTGAAGAATTAAGCATCTTGTCCACCCCATCAAAGAACACACTTTTTATTACTTAATACTAATTAACTATACTAATTCATTTCAATAATTCATTTTTCTGAAAATATTCAAAAAATTATATTTCTTTTTCTTCCAAAAAATCCAGGTCGTCTGATAAAATATGACAGAAACCATGCAAATGATTTCGTTTTAAATCTGCATTCAAATTTCACATACCTAGTCTGGTGATTTTAATTTCATATTTCTATTTATCAATCACAAATAAGCATCCTTACATTTATAGAACTTCATTCTCATATCGATAATCCGGACAATACCAAGAACAGTGAGAAACTACTGTTAACAGTAACAATGTGTTTTCTTTGACTAATGAGACTAAAGAGAAGTTCAGTCTTGAAAACATGAAGCAATTACACAAACGCTTTCTACAGAAACTGCCAACAAAACTCAATTTGCAAGTATTTTCTTAAATGGAAGCAAGTGTCAAATTATCTACAGCAAACTTATTCGTAAGAGGATCAAAGAATGCAGATAAATTGGATAAGAGTTTCAGAATCCACAGAAGCATTATAGAAACACCTGTTCCTTTGTAATTGGAAGGAAAATCTACACAGATATAGATTGTACTGACGACAAAGCTCTTATAACCATTTAATAGTTTACAAAAATAGCACTATCAATTGATTAGTCCTGCTATTAAAACTTCTGTAAAAAATCTTCATGCTTAACCAACTCACATTGAAACAATATACAAAGTTTCTACTCATGAGAGATGCCATGTATCCCATAAACCTCAATCCCTACAAATAAAACAGTAAATTCAGTTAAAATCACAAAAGAGAGTCATAAAAGAAGGCAAGTGAATAGTACATAATACGATAATTCTTTCTCCAATCTTCTTTGCAAGTGGTGAACTACTACTCGAGTTGTCCCACCCATACAAATATTAAAATATACAAAGGTTGGATCTAATTTTGGCAAAAAGAGTCCAATAGGAACTGCAGCTCTCAATAACTCACTCAGTTACATTCAGTAGTGTCACAAAGACAGACACATACAATATCTACATCATTTAAAAAAATAAAATAAAATTAAAGGTGCAAAATTCTCTTTTAAAATTCCTACTCAGCAGCCACTCGCTCCCACTCGTGATGGCCAGGTCGTAATAAAACAATATCCTCTTCTGAGCTTGAACTCTCATCCTCTTCATCATCATCAAAATATGGTCTTGTGTTGTCACCAGTACCTGGAAAGGAACATTTTTATTTTCATAGTGATTCTTTTACAATATAATTGGGGTATCATCATTATATCTGCACACAGAGGTACCAATGATCCAAAGAGCAAGAAAACATTACAGCCAATATTGCACATTTTGTTGCACACATTTTGGAGTAGCACAATATGGGCAATTGTATGCCTTGCCACACACTGTGCTTACTTGCATAACAGTAGTCCATGAAAGGACAATATCCACTGACTGGTACAACGCGTGCCTTTCAAAAGAAAATGACAAATATAACTGTTTTTGAGCCAAGTGACTAGGGAAATATTGCCTTTTCTTTTGACAGCAGTGTCAAAAATGTGGTAAGTCGAAACAGTACAACACTGCAGAGTACAGATGGATTATGTGCCAAAGGTGTAAAGGTTGTGAAATAATAAAACTTATGGCATATCACTGCCACTTTTAACACTGACACAAGTACATTTATGATCGCATACACAATTGCCACAGCACATGGTGAAAATCCCCTGCAACTACATTATGGTAACATAACGACAATGTTTACCCCAACTCTGTTCACGATATACTCACTCAAAGTTGGGTTTGAGTTGGAAGCTATTTTCATTTTTAAATAATTTATAAAGTGTGGATGTTTCCTTAGATACAACCAGTCCAAAAAAAAGATTCCAAAGCTTTTGATCATTATTACATCAAATAATATAAACTACCAATTTTCAAGATAAAAAAACAGTATTTCTTCATACATACAGTTAATTGGGTAGTAATGCATCAGGCGAGAACAGAAATCACTATAGAATCAAGAAACTCACTCAAATAACTTACCAGTCAATGGAGTTCGAAACAAAACTTTTTCTGCATCATCTTTATCATCCTCAAAGAGAGATATTCTCTGTGGTAATTGTTGAAACCCATAGAAGCTGTTGCGAATACGTCGTCGGCGCTGGCAACAAGCATAGCAGCACACAGCCAGGCCAAGAATACCCAGACATACGCAACCTGATAACATAAAGATACTGTATTTGTCATTTTCTTCCCCATTAGAAAATTGGAAGAAAGAAGGAATACACGAAGATTTTTTTTCATCGATCCTATTGCACAAATAATGCACATTCTGTACTTAATGAAACACCCTTATAATGAAATCCTCCAATCTTTCTCTCTCCAATTAACTTGCATTATTCTTATCAATTTCCTTAAACACCAATGATTTGCCCGATCTTAAATCTAAAACTTTTTAGATAGCTCAATCAAAATTAATATCATCTTTTATCTCAAGAATTTTTATTCTTATCGTATGGGCATGAAAATTCATTGCCCTTTGAGGTTCAGGCTGATAACTTTCATAATGGAGGATTTTTAATGGAAACTAATTCTTCTAAACCAAAATGACAAACATGATTCAAAATATCTTAACATGCAACAAAGCTTTGTTTTGCATTTATTCTTAGACATCTGTTTCAGATGTTATAGAACTAATAACATACAACAAAATATGATAAAACATTTAAAAATAATTATAAATAACTCACATTCACACCAATTAACAATATAAACATCAACATTCATTCTTTATACATGCAGACCTGTTCATTTCCCAACTGACTGAAAATTAATGGCAAATATTGGTTGTATTTCTTTTATACCTAAAATTTAAGCAGATCTTGGGTCTTGGGAATATTGAAACATTCTCTTTAGGTAGACCCATGTTGAAAACGCCAATTTGAAACATTTCTCATAAACAGATACATGTTGGAATTTTGGCAGCAATGGTGAAACGGTTAGCGTATCGAACTGTTGCACCCAAGTATGTTGGTTCAAACCCGATCAATGCTGTGGATTTTTAGCGTGAAAAAATCCTTCGTAAGCCTTCCTTTGGAGGTAAGTAAAGCCGAATGTCCCATATTAGTAGATTTACTGCATGTAAAAGACCCTCAAGCGTAAATGAAGTCTCTAAGATCAATTCAAATCACCTGTTTCATCACCCAAGAATTATCTCCTTTCTCCGCTAGTTGGTAAAAGGAGCGTAGCAAAACTTGCGTATTCAGACGGAAAAGCAGACTTCATGGCCTAAGTCTCGCCAAGTAAAATAAGGCAAAAATTCAATTCAATAATTTTGAAGCATTTCTTATTTAGGCTAAATGCAGCCCCAAGTCAGTCACTTGATTTTGGAATATATATTGATAACTTTGACTTGTCTTTTGATATCTTTGAAACAATTTAACATTTTTTAAATAATTCCTACAAATGCCTGACTCCTTAATTACTCATGTTTGTGAGTTGATGATCCATCTCATACATACTGGGTATTCTCTAAAAATTTATTGTCTAAAACAGCCTTGCAGACAGGCACTTATTCTGTCCTGATGCCTACACCAGCATTAAAAGATGTCACCAACGGTCATACTTTTCTTTCTCACTACTTCGTATGTCATGATCTAATAAAAATTTATATTTTAAAATTAAACATGACACAAATCATGAATGTGTTTCCTTGCTGTCATAGATATCCAACATCCACTCTCTCTTTCAGTCCAGAACACACAAAGAGTCCTGAAATTCACATTGTAATATTTGCATTGAATTTTCATCACAACAAACATACAAGGT